AAACAAATAAACATAAACAAACAAACAAATAGATTAAACTAAATTCCTTATATCGTGTGAGGGAAATAGAGAGGGAAATTTTTTAAGGTACTAACTTCAGTTATCTATGTATGACTTTGTTTTTGGAATGACTGATTTCCCCATTGTTTTCCTGAGCACTCTGATGTAAAAATTTAAAAAAAAACAATAAAATTTGTTGGAAAAAAAAAAAGAAGAAACTCTTCGCTAAGCTACAGCATACAAGTCCTGCAGCCGGATATCACCCCTTATTAGAACCACAAGACAGGGCCCATTGCAAAAAATACCTCTTTCCAGTTGTCTTTGACTTGCTGTTCGGCTTGGACAATTTCAGCAATCGCCACTTCCAGGTCTTTTTTGGCTTGCAGGCACATATCCATATATTCTTTGTTGCCAGGGCTCCCGTTTCTCTCTTGGAAGGGGATCATCCTAGACAATTCTGGAAGAAGGAGAAAGAGAAACCACTTCAGGCCAGTGCCGGAAGCGAGATCAAGTCAGCAGTTTCATTTTTTCAGAGCTAGTTTGCCAATTTGGCACCCTCAAAATCCACAAACATCTTCTTCGCTGGTGATTTTCTCCCAATCTTTTTTTTTTTTTTTTAAAGTCAACTGGCAAAGACTTCCAGCGTTGCTCATTCCAAGCGTGACATTTATCCGTCGCATTTATTTATTGGTTCAACTTATTTGCCGGACTCCAGGAGGGCTCGCAGCAATAAAAACGGAGAAATGAAAACAAGCAGCAAAGTAATGGAACAACAGAAAACGACGAGAACACTGCAATATGAGGATAAATAAACGCCGAATGTTATGATCCCAGATTTCCAAAGCAGATTTCTTGGGGGTTTGGGATAAAAAAAAGTTCTTTTCCTTAGTCCCACCGGTGACGTCTCCTTAACGGCAAGTGGTGGACTCGCACTTTTAGCGTGCAAAAGCACTGCACGGCGTGGAGCAGGGTTGTGACAACTTTGTCACTTCTCCCCCAACTCTCAAACCGACACCGTCTCCAACACCTGGTTCGTGTTTTAAGGGTTGGCGCCAATCAAGGGAAGCATCCTTCAGTTACCTGCAGACTTTGCACTAAGCCAGGGGTAGGCAACCTTGGCTCTTTTATGACCGGTGGACTTCAACACCCAGAATTCCTGAGTCAGCATGGCTGACTCAGGAATTCTGGGAGTTGGAAGTCCACGAGTCATAAAAGAGCCACGGTTGCCTACTCCTGCACTAAGGCAAACACAGAATTCTCCCCGTGGATCTTAACTTACATAGCAAACATTTTTGGGGGATTTATTTTTGGGCTTGTTTATTCAAGTTTCTGGCTCTGCTTTCCCACAGGTGTTAAATTAACCTTTCCTACAGTAGCTTCTGGATTGGAGCCCAGGGTTCTTTAACATCTAATTCACAGAACTGTACAATTTTACAGGGTTGAGATGAGCTGTTTGAAAGTTTTCCCTCTCCTTAATTAAGGCGTCCCACACCCAAAATAAGCATTTAGAACAGGATCCCACCCGTTTTCTGATTATACAAAGTTTTCAGTAGTTAAAACTGCTGCCTCTGGATTATAATTCCTAAAAAGCATAGTGTATGAGAACAAAAAAATCCCCCAGAAATGAACTAGGGCAGTGTTTCTCAACCTTTGACAATGCTGGCTGTGGAATTCTGGGAGTTGAAGTCCACATGCCTTAAAATTGTCAAGGTTGAGAAACACCGAACTAGGGAATAGATCCAGATAGCCAGACCCCGATCTAAAACTACAACATGTTCTGCAACTCTAACAAAGCTAAACTTGAAAGTAAAATGATCCCAGACCATAATTTTATTTAACTGAAGGGTTAACCTGGAACCAAAGTACCGAGTCCCAAATCGATACAATCCAATTAACGCACAAATAAAACACTCTACAAGTTGAGGGTCAAAGAGCAAAGCACACAGCAAGAAAACAAACAAATAGAAGGATATCAAAATAAACACTTATTATTCCCGGCGAGCTGGATAAAAAAATAAATAAATAACCAGCGTAATCAGTTTTAAGAAGGCTTCTCTGCAGAGAAAGAGACTCATATCCTTTGGTTTTTCACCGGGGGCCGTCGGACTTTGCAACTGGATTAAACGGACGAATGCAAAACCCACTCCGTACTAGCCCTGGTGACGTTACCTAGTTTGGTAACGAAACGTCTGCGAGCTCAGAGAGCGCCGAGGACCCCCAAAAGTTCCCAATTGCTCCTGCAACAGTATTCAGCGCAGAATTTAGGCGCTGCTTTGACTCCCATGCTCAATTCACGATCACACAAGAGCTTCCGCTAACTTTTCCCCCGCCAGATAACTGGAAATACCTTCTTGAGTCAAATTCTGCTGTGTGCAGGAGGCTTGCAAAAAAAAAAAACCCAAAAAAACCCCCCATCCTACAGACTCATCTGTTTCCCTTCAAAAGCTTCACAACGAAAGGAGGTTTTTGGTTAACCTATCTCGACCGGGACAAAGCAGACAGCTAGCAAAGAAGCCACTTCTGCCAGCCACAGCCTACATTTCTGCCCGGCCCGCTTTCAGAGTTGGGAGTTACTCCCCCCCCCTGCTTTACTCCTTGCCGCAGCCGAGTTGCTTTCCCTTCCCTTCCCTTTTCCTGGTTCCTGCATACCTGAATTCCTGTTTTCAGAGGAGAGAAAGTTCCAGCTGATGAGACACACACAAACCAGCCGGCCGCCTTCTGCAGCCCAGGATAATTATCAACAGCTCAGCCTGCTTTAAACCTGCTTGCCAGCTGCACATTTCAGGCCCGCCCAGACTTGGCCTCGCCCCCCTCCTCCAAGCCCACGTGGGCAAGGCGCCACAGCTGGAACAGGGCCTTGCACGTCCGCCTTGCACGGCTGTGGAGAGGAGGAGGAGGAGGAGAGGGTGAAAACTGCCCAGCAACTCTCCAGAAAGAAAGGACGGGTCATTCAGGAAGGAAACAGATGCAAAGTTGAATCGTTGCAAACAGACCAAGGGATGTCTACTTTGTAAAAAAAATAAATAAAAAAAATAAAGCTATTGTTTGCACCTTTGTGTGGTATGAAGACCACTTGTGGGAAGGGACCTTGGGGGGTCATCTAGTCCAACCCCCTGCTCTGGCAGGAAACCCTATACCATTTCGGACAAATGGCTGTCCAGTCTCTTCTTAAGAACTTCCAGTGTTGGAGCACCCACAACTTCTGAAGATAAACTGTTCCACTGATTAATTGTTCTTCTATTATTATTATTATTATTATTATTAATAATAATAACAACATCATCATCTAGCCTTATCTTTCTTAAGATAAACTTTCCACTGGTTAATTAATTGTTCTATTATTATTATTACTATTATTATTATTATCATCACCATAATCAAGCCTTAACTTTCTTAAGAGAAATTGTTCCACTGGTTAATGGTTAATTGTTTTATAATATTATTGTTGTTAATTATTATTAATTATTATTATCATCAAGCCTTATCTTTCTTAAGATAAACTGTTCCACTGGTTAATTGTTCTATTATTATTATCATCATCATCATCATCATCATCATCATCATCATCATCGAGCCTTATCTTTCTTGCTCTCCCCTTCTTATAGTATTATTATTACAAGTAGTCTTCAACTTACAACAGTTTGTTTACTGAGCATTCAAAGTTACAACAGGGCTGAAAAAAAGTGATTTACAACCGTTTTCGCAGTTACAACCTTGGCAGCATTCCCTGCAGTCACGTGATGAAAATGTGGATGCTCGGCAACTGGCGTGTACTTATGACGGTTGCCTGTGTCCCAGGCTCACGTGATTCCCCTTTTTGCGACCTTCCAGAAAGCCAAGTTAATAGGGAAGCCAGATTCATTTAACAACTTATCAGCTGCAGCCATCACTTAACAACTAGTTAATGGTCGTAAAATGGGGCAAAACGCAGTTAAACTGTCTCACTTAACAACAGAATTTTTGGGGCTCAATTGCGGTCATAAATCAAGGACTGCCCATGTTATGATTGACATTACTCTGTTGCTTTGCACGCGCTGGAGGCAAATTCCTTGTGTGTGCAGTCACACTTGATCAAATCAAGTGAATTCAATTCACCTTTCCTTCCGCAAACGGGTTTGGCACAATCTCAGGCGGGGTTAAAATGAAATCTGCTTTTCCAACCAGGCCAGACTTTACAACGCCGAGCATCAGGGACACACTAAAACACGCCCTGCGCGTGGGAGAAAGCGCCCCCCCAAGCCTTCCAGGCCAAGGGGAACTGTGTGCCTTGCACCTTGACCGCCCAGCTCCCTCCTCTCCACCAAGACAGCGGGGCTGGGTGAAAGAGGAAGACCTGGTGGAAGAGTCTCCGAACAGGTAATACCAGCTAGAGCAGCATTTCCACAACCTCAAGGAGTTGAATTTCAACTTGCAAAATCCAGAATCCGACGTGGCTCAAGATCGTTTCAAGTGTGTTAAGGAAACAGGTGTAGTAGATGGTCTACCTGGCTTAAGTGTCAATTCCCCTCAAAAAATAATAATTCTCATTATAGTTCTACTGTCCCATCTTCTGGACAAGAAACATACACGGTTCTTTTTTCACTTTTGTTTTGGGTTCTAGAAACCCCAGCAAAATAAACGTGGAGGTCTAATCCAAGTTCGCCCTAATGAATTCCATTTCTGAGTAGAGACCTCAATCAATCAATCAATCAATCAATCAATCAGAATAGACCTGGAAGGATTCTTGGAGGTCTTCCAGTCCAAGCAGGTGACCCTATACCATTTCAGACAGGTGGCTGTCCAGCCTTTTCTTAAAAAACTCCATTGATGGAGCACCCACAACTTCTGGTGGCAAGCTGTTCCACTGGTGAATTGTCCTCACTGTTAGGAAGTTTCTCCTTAATTCCAGTTTGCTTCTCTCCTTGATCAGTTTCCATCCATTGTTTCTTGTCCTGCCTTCTGGTGCTTTGGAAAATAGACTGACCCCCTTCTTCTTCTTCTTCTTCTTCTTCATGGCAGCCCCACAGTCTGTGGAGCTGTTGAGATCCAGACCCGAGTCTTTGGCTACTACACAGGACAATTTTTCTGTTTTTAATGCCATAGTTTCTTTATCAGGAGAAAAACATTCCTCTCTCCCTCAAGATCAAGAACTGGGAAGCTGAACAAGGTGATTTTTGAGCACATCTGAGTGAAGGAAGAATAACTTTCTACGGTTAATCAGATTCACGATGGGTCATTTGTTAAAAAGAAAAAAGAAAGAATTAAACCAAGTAAGGTCTTGTGTCCTACAAAGTGGAGGATTGGTCAAAATCTTCTACTCCCTTAAATATTTGGGGGCTATAAGTTGCAAGCCGTTTACACTCCAATTTCTTTTTTTTCATTTGGGCCTTTGGCGACTCTGCGCTTCATTACGCTAGTCACCTTTCATTTTTTTATTGGTTTTATTGTAATTTAATTGTGAGCCACCCAGAGTCATTCCGAATCAGGCAGCAAATATGCTTAATATATTATTGTCCTTTGTTCACGACGATATGCAGCCATAGGTGCCAGTTCTAATATTGTTACCGAGTAATCTACAATTAGATTCACAGCCTAAGACTGGCAAAAACTTAATAATTAAAGTTCTTAGGACCTTAAGGATTCTTAAGATACGTGTCTAAAGATATAGGCAATTCCAACCAAGGTATTTTTTTTTTTGTAAAATTGGCGCAACCGGGTCCAATAAATTCAAAATTTCCAATTATGGAGCCTTTTAGGTATTGCTCCAGGGATCCAGCTGGTGTAAAAAACCAGATTTTTCTTTTTTCACAAGAACTCAAGATTGAACTGCAAATCCCAGTATTTACTTTTTTTAAAGTTTAATTAGATTAAATTAGTTAATAATTAATTTAATCACGGATTTAACACAACTGCAAATAACTTTTTTTTAAAAAAAACCTACAAAATACCGGGATTTGCAGATCACACTTGAACACTTATGGAACTATTATTATTATCTGCTGTCTCCCAAGCTTCCCAAATCCACCAGCGTTGTTGTGAAGATGCTGGCCTGGCAATTTTCTTTCCTTCCTCCAGATGTTAGCAGGGCTAATTCTGGCTGTTTTGTTTTGCCTGCGGAGGGCCAGGCCATGCCCCATCTCAAAACCACAAGATGCTGCAACTCACCCCGCTGTTGTTTCATTGCACCATAAATATCTTTTGCTTAATCCAAAAACCAAAAAGGCATAAAGGGATTGACGATGCTTGTTCCACATTCACTTGGTAAACAATCGCGCTTTGCTAAAACGGCCTGTTCTTCTTAAATCCAGCCATTTAATGCCTTTTCTTAAGGAAACCTCATTCATTTTAAGTGGAGTATCCATGCCCAGGCAGTCATCAAAGTGAGGAGTCCTAGTGCACTATTTATTGCTTCTGTTTTTCAGCAGGAAAATCTCGTTTGCAACTGGAAAAAAAAAACAACTTCGCATGCATGAACTCTACAAGTGTCTCACTTCTTCCACTTCCTTCTGCTTCTTTCCGATAAATTGCATCTGAAGCCCAGATTTATACCTATGCAAATGAGAGGCCTGCTCGCTTTTTCGACGCTCCTGGATAAATAGGGCAGTCCTCGACTTACACCAGTTTGTTTAGTGACAGTTTGAAGTTGCCAAAGCATTGAAAAATGTGACCTGTGGCCCTTTTTCACACTTACGACCATAGTCAGGAGATCAAACTTCAGACACTTGGCAACCGTTCTCATATTTATGACGATGACAGTAGTCCCGGGGTCATACGATCACCTTTTGCAACCAACGTGGTTGTTAAAAGTGAATTTGGCTTCCCTGATTCACTTCTTCTGAGCGGCAAACACAATGGGCAAGCCAAATTCACTTAACAACCTTAACAATCACTTAAATATGAGCCAGCCGTGTGCTGCAGCTGCCAAAAAAGCCAACACAGTGCTGGGCTGCATTAACAGAGGGATAGAATCAAGATCACGTGAAGTGTTAATACCACTTTACAATGCCTTGGTAAGGCCACACTTGGAATACTGCATCCAGTTTTGGTCACCACGATGTAAAAAAGATGCTGAGACTCTAGAAAGAGTACAGAGAAGANAGAAGAAGAAACAGCAAGTCTCAAACCACCTCCAAAACAAATAAAAATCCAGAAAGCACCTTGACCACATAAACACACAATTATGTTCTTACGAGGAGCATCAACTGCCTGGCTTTAGGACTGGTTAAGCCTCTCTTTGGAGGCCAAAGTCAAAACAGCCTCATTCTATTTTTGACCCTTTTTAATCCCGCGCACAAAAGGGAGAAAAATATCAAGCGAATAAATAATAAAAAAAGCTGTAACTAAAGCCCCCAGTATTACCCGTAAAACGGAAGATTAATGCTCCAAAACAAGTCTCTGTAAACATCTCACGACAATTATGTGTCGAGTTACACCGTCTGCCCTCGCAGCCCACGAGAAAAGGCTGAAGTTTTGCACAGTCACGTCTATTATTTCTTATTATCAAAATAAATTCAAACAGAGAAACACATATGCCACCTTCTCTTCTAGTTCTAACAGGCTTACACCCAGAAACAGAGTTGTTATTCTACTCTTAACCTTTTAAGGTCTTCAGAAATCGTGGGCGCGCCATCCCTGGAGGTTTTTAAGAAGAGACTAGACAGTCACTTGTCTGAAAGGGTTTAGGTTCTCCTGCTTGAGCAGGGGGCTGGACTAGAAGACCTCCAAAGGTCCCTTCCAGCTCTATTCTAGCCTATTCTAGTCCAACTCCCTGCTCAAGCAGGAGAGCCCAGACCACATCACCCCCTGTTCGTGAAAAGCAGAGAATAAAAATCTGTTCACCAAAATGATGGTTTCCTTTCGTGAAATGTATACGAATCCATGCAAAGCTTCCAAGCTCTTTAGGCACGTCCTTCCTATTTCATAGGGCTGAAAGGGATCCTGGAGGTCTTCTAGTCCAACCCCCTGCGCAGGCAGAAATTATATATATATAATTTCACTCCAACTGTTTTCCAATCTTTTTCTTCAAAACCTCCGAACGATGGAGCACCTACCGCTCTGGCAGGCATGTCGTTCTCCATTGACCAATTTTTTTCTGCAGTTTTTGTTATTTTATAATGCCATAAAATAACTGCCTAGCACAGTGCTGGCTGTGGAATTCTGGGAGTTGAAGTCCACATGCCTTAAAATTGTCAAGGTTGAAAAACACCCTAGCAGAACTTCACAGCATCAGCTTAAGATAACCTTTATTGTCATTTTTTTTAAATTTTTGCTGTGGGCACAAGGGCACCCATCAAAAATGAAATTTAGCGGCCTGCTCTCAAAGTGAAACACATACCTGACACACACCTAAACACAACATATGTATAGACCCACACCCCTACATATACATAGCAAATAAATATTACATACTGTCCATCTTGAATATATAACGGAAGGAGGAAGCTTGGGACTTCCTTGTCTTAAGAGACCTTCACAGCATTTGATGAAAGAAAGAGACCTGATGGCCTGATGGGGAAAACCCAGGTTCAAAAGCTGCAGGAGGGAAACCAGGTTTCCACATTGCAGACAAACCTGGTTAGTTTCAGATCTTGCAAGCCAGGAAAAGGCCAGAGTTCTGGAACTGCAAGGCTGCCCAGGCTGAACCTGGCACTTACAATGCGGATTCTCTCTCCCCCCCCCCCCAAAAAAAAGCCAATTTTATCTTCTTTTTTCTCTTTCTTCTCCTTCCTTGGCATGGAGGCGACCCCGACCTGGGATGACCCCCAGAAAGAGATAAGTGCCATCAAAGAGTAATAAAGGCAGGGCAAAAATCTCAGACGTACATAAATAAAATGACCTTTTCCCACCCAGAACTGCCCCTCCAGCTCCCAGGGAAGAAGGAATTGCAACTTGCACGTGGGAATGGAGGGTGGCAACCCGGGTCCCCGACCCACCTTTTAAAACCCCATTTCTGGGGTTTAAATTGAAGGTCATCCCAAAGGAGGCGCATTCCCCCACCCAGGCCTTTCCAGAAAGAGGGGGGGAGGAAGCCCTGAATTGCCAAGCTGGGACGGTGACACGTGTCAGCCCTTCCCACGTGCGCTTAACATAACGGGGAGGCGCCTCCCGGGCTTAGCGGAAGGAGAAGCCGGGGCGAGCTTGGTAACGGAGCCGGCAAGGCGGCCGGGCTCCACTCACCTGTCGAGCGGCGATCAGAGTTACGACCCTCCGAGGCTCCGGAAAAGGAAAGAGGCCTCCCTGCTCCTGCCGCCGAGCCTCGCGAGAGTTCCCGGCGCAGGGAGGCCGCGCGGAAGTCTCGCGAGGCTTCGAGGAGGCATGCGCAATGGCGCCCGGTGAGGCCGAGCCAGGAGTTGAGGGAGGGGCGCCTCTCCTTGCTTAGCGGAAACGGGAGTTCCGGGGGGGGTTCTTTCAGGGCGCCCCCCCTCCCGAGATTGGGGGGCAGCCACTTCCACAGAAAGAGGGGTTGGGGGGGCTGTCAAGGGGCGGTTCTTGGCTGATCTTTGGGAACTAAACGGGTTGGAGGCGGAGAGGGCTTGGATGGGAGACCACCAGGAAATATTATGTCTTCTTTCTCCCCCCCCCCCTTTACCCAGATTTAGCATTGTGAGATTTGGTTTTATTTGCATGATCAAAAGCTGCTTAACTTTGGTCCTCCTGTTTTGTTATCCCATTACTTATCCCCCCCCCTAATTAGTTTAGATTTAGATTTAGATTTAGATTTTATTAAATTTATACCCCGCCCTTCTCCCGGAGGACTCAGGGCGGCTTACAGCCAGTTTAAAACAATGATACAATACAAAATTTAAAAAGATTAAAAATAACTATTTAAATTTGGCCGCTTCTACTAAAAATTTAATTTAAAACCCCTTTAAAATACCCCTAGGCCAGTCCTG